GTCGGAGACGAGCCTCAACGTCGCGAATCGCCGCCTCGCTGGCCTCGGCGGCCGCCTCAAATGCGCGCCAAGCACAGACGCCCGCGGCCAGACCCTGCACAGTCGCGGACAGGCTGTCGCGGAGGCCTGTCCACGCGTCGGCCAGTCCTCGGCACCGGCAGACGACGGCGGCCTCGACCAAGCTGGCAGTCGAGACGACGCCAGCTTCATCCCTCGTTTGGGTCAAGCAGGCAACAGCAAGTCCGCGAAGCTCGGACAGTCGGTCATTCGCTTCTCGACCCAGCACTTCAAGGTCCTAGAAAAGACAAAGTGACCCAATCATGCTGTCAGGATTTGTGTGGAAGCCTTGACGAAGGCGACATTAAATGTTCGTTTTCCACCTATCAGCGGATATAAGAAATGTTTTCCCCCTATTTCGTTTAAGGTGATCAACGACTGGTAGTTGAATTTTCCCAAAGTCATATGAATAGAGCTGATAGTTCTCATTCAATTTCGCATAGCCTTGCTTTCCCAAAGGGTGTTCGCGTTCAGACTGGACTGCAAGTTCGACCAAACCCCCCAGCGGAAGTCGGAGGATGACAATGCCGTGTGCACTCTCAACTTGTTCACGACTACGCCACTACGTTTGTAAATATGTAACTGATTTACTGATAGTCTCTTAAGCCAAATTACAAACGAAAAAATAAGTAATGTCGTCGAATGCTACAGCAAATATAAATTGGCCTAATCGACGATCCCACCATCGAATGTGAGATGGGGAAATATCTGGTCCTCCTTGAAATACACCCCCGCCCTGTGACTCAAGGGCGGTCGTAATGGCCAACGTGTCGAGATGATACGCCGCATCGGCATGGTTCGAGTCTCGCTGGGGGTACTGATGAGACCTAGACGACGTCGAAATTGCATTCTCCTTCTGACTGGATGAGAATAACGTTTAAGAAAGCAAAGCTATGTGAAATTCAACGGAAAAAGTCATGTATGTTCATATGATTGATGGAAAATTCAACTAAATGAAAAAGGTTGAAAAAGTCCCATATATTAAATGATTGGACATT